AATGAAGCTCAATGCAAGCTGGAAGAACAACACCTCATTTTCCACTTGGGGACCCTGCAGTCCTCCGGACTCAATATCGAGTTCAATAATTTTAGGACCTAAACTCTCCCATGTCCCAACCCCCTACCCCACACACCAGGCTTTGTTATCACATAGCCTGCCATTACACACTACCTATTGTTAGTCACTAATGGTCCCCATTACCAATTATTCACCCTATCCAACTGCTCTTCTCTCTCTTTAGGCTCTATCCTATCATTTACTCCCTCCCCCACCCACCTCCCTATTTTCTGCATATAAACTAACATTTTCCCAGCCACCCTCAGTTCTGAGGAAGGGTCACTGGACCTAAGATGTTAACTCTGATTTTTCCTCCACAGATGCTGCCAGACCTGCTGAGCTTTTCCAGCAACTTCTGTTTTTGTTGTTGTTCTGAACTTTTTATTTCTCTGTTTTCTAATTTATGATCTGCATGAACTGCAACGCTGGACTTTTCGTTTCTTATTTTTTCCTAAGAACTTGTACTGAAGATCTGTACCTAGGTACCATGTACCTAAGATGGCACTGTAAGTGGCAACTTATAAACTTTTCCCTGTACTCATCTGAGTATGTGTGACAATAAACCTAATTCAATTCAATTCAATTCAATTTAATTCAATTATTTAAATGGAAGCAATTTGGATGGGGGTATAGGGAAAATGCAGGACTTTGGCAATAAGTTAAAATGGTCCAGGAGCTGATGAAAACACTATGGGCTGAATGGCCTCCCTGTGCACTGTAACTCCTCAGTGACTCAGTGAACTCATTGCAAATTTGTAACATCATAAATGTGTACAGATTCATGGTGGAGATGAGCCATTAATTTCATTATCTTATTTCTCACGTGTTTAATGCAGGTTAGGTCACCTTGCAAAACAACATAATGTTCATGGGTGATAAAATGTGAATTATCAGCAGGCAATTTATGAAGATGCCTCCCTCTGTATCACACATCTTGGATACTCTGGAAGCTCTCTGCAGTCAATGGATGGATTTTATTGATGCAGAACGGTTTGGCTTCCTGCATGATGTTCCAGTGAACGTACCTGTAAGAGGAGTATTAGAACAAATGAAGTCAAGTTTTAAGCATTTTTGAAGCACTGATGTGCTCTGGCAGGTGGATAAACTACCTTAGAGATTAAATTCTGCCACTTGATTCCCAGAGTTCCAACTTGTGATTTTCTTTGAGGTGTCAGAGAAGTTCTTGTGTGGAATGATCAGTTGGATGATCAGCCATGATCATGTTGAATTATGGAGCAGGCTTGAAGGACTGAATGGCCTATTCCTGCTCCCATTTTCTACGTTTCTATGCAAATGTGATACTCCATAACCGGTGAGGGAATGATAAGGCAGATTGAGTGGTGGTTCCATACCCTCTGTCAGTGGCCGGGCTTTTCCATTTTGGAGCTAGAGTGGGTGTGTGCTCTAAAGGGACACCACCATCACCAATGATGAGAAAGTCCTCTGCATCATGAGCCTATCAGCACCTAATTGGTCACCCAGTGGGCTTCTTGGCGCATCACTTCCTGGCTCAGCCATATCCCGCCCTGCCTGGAGCTGCTGGCCAATCAGAGGCCAATAACTACTATCAATAGCAACATCACTCCAGAGAGCAAGGCTGCCATCTGCAGAGCAATGTGGCGCAGCTGGCAAAGTGGGTTAAAATTGTCAGGGGTGTGATTGCAGGATGAGGGGTAGCAGAGTGCAGATGGAATCCAATCAAATCCCCATCCCAAAAGCCAAAAGGCAGGCCACTTCACTCACCTCCTGAGAGCACAGGCAACTGAGGCAGTAACATGAAGAGGCCCCTAAGACATCACCTTGCAAAAGGGGCCCCATTTATTTTCAACAAACCAAGCCTCTTCAGAAGGTGCATCAAGATGGAGGAGCCCTTGCCATTCCCCTCTGGCTGTGGTAGTGCCCACCTCTGGCTGTGGGGCTGCTGGCTTCAGCTCACACCATTGAGTGATCTAGCGGCATCGTGAGTTGCCTACCATGAGGTCCAGGCTTTGAGGGTTCATCCCTGCACCGTGGACACTGCTATTCTAGACTAGCCTCTCCTAACCCTGAGTTTGCTGCATTTCTTTCTGCCTCTTGTAAGAGTGACTGACGTCTGACTCTCAGACGACTCGATAAATTCTTATTCACAGGCTATGGTACATAATACTCATCTGTGTCTAGCAGCCCTCTAGTCCAGTCCTCCCGTTTCAGTCTTCTCGACAGACTGGCTAGAATGTGGAGGCTAATGTCAGTGTTACATCATCATTAACATACATGGTCTCATTCTACGATAGCTGCCTTGCTTTCAAAATGCAGGTACAATCAGTGACCCCCATCCAGTGTCCCTAATGGATGGAGGAGCTGGAGAGGCAAGCCACCAACACATGCTGAAAAATCTTGGGTGTAGTTGAGCACCTGGTTGCATTTAAGGGTGGCCAGGTAATTGACATTGCAGAGAATGCCAGATTAGAAAAGATGGGAACTGACTCCTGTAAAATAGATGATGTCCTTTAGAAAGGAATTACCTATTAACACTTCCAAGGTAAATGAATGAGCATGCCCTGGTCTTCAGCATGATCCGCATGCCCTCAGCGAGATCTCTGCTAATTTGCTTTATCCCTTAGACATGCACCCTGCTACAGACCTGAGTCAACAGAACATTTCATTTTAATGCATTATTTATAGAATATTGTGTAAAGGTCCTAAGTAGGGGATAATTTATTCCACTTGGGGGAAAGCCAGGTTTTCTCAAACAAGGAATAAATCCTGTTCTTTACGGTGTTATTATAAATAGCCTCTATTTTAACATATGGTGATTAACAAGAAATTGTTAAATATTTAAGACTGGTTGCGTTTATTTTTGCACTCACTATTACCGACAGAATATATCAACATGGATTTTGCCCTGCATCACACTGTCTGACAAGAGGTGAGTGAAAATGCTTCAATGAGTGACACAACCTCAGGGCGTGCCTTGGGTCTATTTAGCAGCACCGTTAGGATTACAGAAATTGCTGGCACAGAGTTTCTGACAAGTTGCGTTACTTATTCCACTGCAATTCACTCCCATCTTGGTCAAACTGACACCAAAAGTTACAGAAATTCAAATGAAAGTTGCATTCAGCACAAATTAATTTGCCATGGTCTTTTGCTCTGGTTAAATAAACACCCCATGAAACTGGGTTGCCACGTTTCCAGACTGAATGCATCAGCATGGTCAGTTTCCACTAATCTTAAAAAAAAAGTATTCACATATGGGGTGTGGGTGTCTCTGGAAAGGTCAACATTTGATTGCTGCTGAAGTGGGTGACTTGCTAGGCGATTTCATACGGTAGTTCAGAGTCACATTGCTGTGGTAACAAGGTGTAGAGCTGGATGAACACAGCAGGCCAAGCAGCATCATAGAGCAGGAAGGCTGACGCCTCGGGCCCAGACCCCGCATCAGAAATCTGGTTTTCTGGTGGGTGGTCTGGG